TGTGTGTGTGAATGTTGTTCGCAGGCAAGGCATGAGCATGATACCAAGCATGACTGTGACAGTCCATCCCTATCAGCCAGGTCAGAGGCTTCTGGAGTGACACCAACTTCCTTCAGGACAGAAACCGTTTCTTTCCTTCCCTCATCTTCTGCACCCTCAGTGTTCCTTCGTTTCAGCCCAATTCATTCTTGCTGAATGAATGAAGGTGGAGGGGGTGGGGCAAAAAGGTAGGAAGCCTTAGACTTAGGTCAGGCTGGAGAGGGAGTCAGGGACTGGTCACTTCTGCCCTCAGTCACCACTACTTCCAGGACATGAGAGGTGAGAGACCTACCTTCAGGAAGTCTTTCTTCTCCAGGGTGTCCATGATCACGGGGGGAATGGCTAAGGGGAGAGCAGAGCAGGGAGGGAGGGAGTCACTGGAGAGAAAGTCAGGACCCTAAGGAAGAGGGGATCCCTTTTCCCAGCTCCTCCCACTCTCCCCCAGAGTCTTCTAGCTCCCAGAGTTCTCAAAACCCCCAGACAATGACACTCCCTTCTCTTAGAGCCTCCTGTGCCCCACCAAGCCACCCCTGCCTCACCCATGGCAGGAATCGCCATGCAGATCCTTGATATCACCACCTGGAAGATTCCTTGCTTGGCTGCAGACACCGAGTGGCCAAGCCTCTGACCCTCTTCATTGGTCACTGGGATGCCCACCTGCAGCTCCCTGAGAAGGGTGGTTGTCAGATCACACCTGCAATGCCTTCACAGGCAGCTAGTCCCTGGGGTCCCCTCAGACAGCCTAGATTCAAAGGCTGGTTCTCCCACCCCAGGATCCCAGCATCAGTCTGAGACATGGCCTAGCAGCTCTTGTGGTTGGCTGGGAGGCCTACATGCCCACTGAGTGTGCACATGCCAGGAGCCGGGGCAACTCACCTCTGCCTCATCAGGGGGATGTTAATGCAGTTGGCAGCTGCCACAGCTGCAAAGGGTACAAATCTGCCAACCAGTGGGGGCAGATGCTGGGGGAGGAGAGATGTCATTTAGTGGCCCTAAGGGCCATGGGGTGGTGAGGAACTCTGAGGAGATATATGGGGAGCCTGTAGGTTGGGATGGAGGAGCAACAGGGAAGAAGGAAGCAGACAAAGGGTGAGTTGGGGGCAGTGGAATGGGAAGGCATTTACCTTGGTGAGGGATTTGAGTCCCAGGGCCGTGGCCACAGCCCCGGTGGTGGCACTCACATAAGCTGTTCCCAGCTGCCTGTGGGAGGAAGAGCCAGGACACAAGGGGAAAGGTGAATAGTCCAGCATGTGGTTCTTTCCTTCAGGGACATGCCAACTCTTCAATGTATGAGGCGTGGGAGGATGGCCTCATGGCAGGGGAATGTCTCCTCTGCTCCAGTGCAGTCTTGTCTGGAAGCCCCAGTCCCTCCCCTGGAAGAGAAGTGGGTCCCCCCAAAGCATACATACAAAGACCCCATGCCCTCAGCCAGGCCAGGAAAGTGAGGGGGGCGGGCTGAGAGGAGAGCGCTGGAGCCACAGGCTGCCCGGCCCTCAGGGAACAGGAGCTAATAGGGGAGAGCAAAGGAGGGAAGGGAGAGAAGTTCCTGGGAATGAGCTCTCACCCAACAGTGATGGGAGCATCACCACTGCGATTGGAGTAGTTAACGATGGCATTGAAGGACTGATTCACCCACTGCCAGAACACCACGGTTGGGGTCTTCCTGAGGGAACAAAGACACTTCTATCATGTCCCTCCCCAGTAATAAAGCCCCAAAGATTATCCCCAAACCCTCAGGACGGGCCCTGTTGATGATCTTAGAACTTGCTCTGGTGACCCCTGCATGACCTTCCCTACACAAACACATCCATTGTCTCTGGAGCTGAGTCCTGAGGAATGGAAGGGATTCTAACACAAGCTCTCACCACCCACTGGCCCAGAGAGGAAGTGCCCAGTCATCAAGTTATGCTCTAGCTTGGACAGAGCGCCCAGGGAGGAGATACACAGGATAGGACCTGCCTGTAGAAGGTGAGCATGCAGCCAGTGATGGTCATGTTCATGGGCACCTGGGCTGACATGCGGCCAATCAGGACCACCTTCTCCCCTGTGTCCGGATGGAAGGCAGAGTCGTACACATACTTGGCCCTCCACAGCTGGTCCTCGGTGAGCCCTGGCGTCACCACGCCGGACCTGCAGAGGTTGGCAAGGAGCAGACAGGCAATTCTAGTTAGCATATCCGCCCCTCCCACGCCCTGCCCACCCAGCTCAGGGTAAGTCTGGGCAGAGGACCAAGCACGTTGGCCTCCAATCTCAGGATAAAAGAGTTCCTTGTCTCTGGGGAGGAAGCAAATCTTCCCAGAAAGTTGGGAGGCAAGTTTGTTTCCCTTCAAGCCACAGGGAGACAGATGCCCTTCTATTTCTGCCAAAACACTAAGTCATGGGTAGTGGTTGTTTCCAATCGATCAAAAATGGCTAGAGGTGTTGCAAGGGTTTTTCCTCCTGGAGACAAGGGGGCTGCCGTCCCACCTCCTTGGGACCCAACTTTGAGCCTCTCTGTCCTTGCAGAGGGTGGCCCAGCAGTGGGACAGATTCCTATAGAGCGTTTGTGAAGCACAGAACAGCCCCCTACCCATAAATATCAACACCACCTCCTCAACCCAAACAGCCTGAAGTCCCCTGGGATACAGTTCTGTACTCCAGTTGTCTGTGGTTCCAACAGACAGGGCCAGACAGTTAGGGGGTGGAGGAGTGGAACAGGGTCACACTCAAGTGAGGGGAAACAGGTGCAAAAGTACTGTATTAATGGTAAGGAATGAGACCCTGGGGCAGATGGGGTCCGCAGTCACCTGTAGTTCTGCACGATGTTCCGGGAAGCTTCCAGCTGTGCCCCAGACAGCAGAAGATTTCGGGGATCGGTCACAGTGAAGAAGTGCCGGGCTCTGCCCAGGAAAGTGCTTTGGTCCCAGCGAGGTTCCTGGATATTGATATCTAAGGGCAACTCACCCATTTCCTGCAGGGCAGGGACCAGAGTAAGAGGACTCCAAGTAGGGGATCCAAAGGCTCCACATGGGGGAGACTTTAGTGGCCCTACCCTGGTCCCTGGACCTATTATTGCCAATCCCTTCTAGAGCTCAAGGTGACTCCAGATAGGTAAGCAAGGGGTGGGGGGAGAGGAGGAGCTGTTTTCTAGGCAATGTCCCCGCCCAGGGACCTGCAGCCACTGGAGGAAGGGACAGGGAAAAACAGAGCCAGGGAAATAGACATCCTTGCTCTCTGGCCTGATGCAGCTTTTCACGAATGAGCATTTACATGTGTGTGGTTGATGCATGAGAAGCAACTAATCCCATGCAGCTACTCGTGTGCTCTGATGCATAAAAACACTGATTATATTCATTACACATCTATGTTCATGCCAGCTTTAGGCCCCAGCTGCCCTAAGACCTACATACAAACCCTCAAGGCTGTTTGGGAAGATGGCATAGGCCATCCTACACTCCAGGCCCTGATTGGAGGAGACCAAGGGCTCATTGACCACTCCAGGGCTTATTTATTCCAGATTTATTCAAACAGGGGATGCTGATGCCAGCCAGCCAGGTGTGCTTATGGGCACAAGTCCCCTCTCCAGACCCATATTCCTCCACCCACACTGAATGGTCCAAGGCTCTCCTTGTTCTCCAGCTGGGAAGGGCTGGCAAAGACACCCATCCACCTATTCCTGAGCCACCTGCCTCTCAAAGAGCAAGCTTCAGTAAATGACCCCTCCACTCAGCACAGAGAGAAAGCCTGAAGCAGCCATCTGGCCATGTTGGGCAAAATCCTACAGAATGACTAATCCTCTCCAACCACACTTCCTCCCTCACAGGCAGACACACCCTCCTCTCTCTCCACACACTCACATTCACATACCCACACACAAAGACATCATTATACATTCCCTACACATACATACAAACGAGGTGGACACACCCTGCATACACTGGCACACAAAGACTGTTACTTGCACACACACACACAACACACACACACACACACACACATTAGCTGTAGACACTTGAAGTTGTGACCACACAGAGCCCCACCCTGGCCTTCCCTCCCCAACCAACCTTCCCTCGTGCCCCATGGACCTCCCTAAAGCAGCGGATACTGAATCCCACAGGACAGGGAGCACACTTCAAAGGCAGCATCCTTCTCCGACTCCCAGCCCTCAACCCCCTACTCCCCAGACTCCCAACCTCGCCTGGCACAGCGAGCACTCACGCTTTCCTGGGCTACCGGGCTCCCAGCCTCTGCAGCTCTCAGACCCGCCTTCCTCTCCGCGAGTCTCCTCCGCCCTCACACCCATCACGCGTAACGTCACGCTTGACGCTCACCAGCTTTAGGGGCGGGGGCTCCCTTCGTGCATCCGCCTGACGTGGCCAGGGATTGGCAGAACCGAGGGGCGATGGGTGTTATTAGGGGCGACGCCCCTAGCCCGGGCCACGGAGACCTGGCCCTACTCTGCCTCAGAGCCAATCCAGGCTCAGGATCAGTTCAAGCCGCGTCTGCAGCGGGAGTGAGGAGGGGAGGGGCCGCGGGTGCTGCCCCATTTGCTTGCAGTCCCTTGGCTGGCCTCGGGAGGCACAGGGCGTCTGCCTCAAGGAATCTAGGTACCCAAGGCGAAGGCTTGCAGCGAGCTGGACTAAGACAGGCGGCGTGGAGGGGCCATCCTTTGATGGTGCGCACTGAGGGACTCGGATTACTTGTTTACTTGATGGCTGCCTTGGCAGTGGCCTCTGCCTACTTGGTCCCCTGGGTTCCTTACCCCGGTTCCCCCAAGCTTCTCTCGCGGCACCTCGGCATTTGCACCCCTTCACAATCTGATTTTGCCCTTCTGTGTCCCCAGCCCATTCCTCCCCACCTCCAGTCCCTTCCTTACCCCTCTCTGTAACCTCTAGCTCCACTGAGTCCCCAGTTCCCTTACGCCCCCAATCCCTACTCCTGCATCACAGACTCTAGCCCCAGTCCCTGCCCTGGATGTGAAGGGGCAGAAGGCTCAAGGTATCTCTGTCTGCATCAAATAAGTGGATCAAAAAGACTCTTCCTCCTCCTAGTGTCCTGAGACCAGTTGCCCACCTTGTGTCCGTCCCATAACTGATTGGCCAGAGAGACACTTTCTGACTTGAGAGGATGCATGTGAAGAAAGCCCCGCTTAGCCTCCTCCCCGCCCCGCCCCAACTCACTTAGTCACCATACAGAGCATGCGTGCCGCACACCCAGGCGCCAGCCCACTCTCCTGCACACCGCGGGCGCTCTTCCTGCTCTGCCCAGTGGCATTCCCTCACTGAGGCCTCAGGGATGACCGCAGAGGGTTGGCGATTCCATGAGCCCTGGAGGCCTGGAGAAGACGCTTTTTCGGGCTCCCCTGTACTGAACCGGTAACGGGAGAGGGGCGAGCTGAGACCCAAGCCCTAAGTTCGCGGGGCGAGTTGGGACATCGGAACTCGAATTGGATCTGGTAGAGCCCAGCGGCCCCAGCCCAGGTTACGAACGCCTGTCCCGGGCACCCAAAGGAGGTGGTAGGGGAGTAACTGGCAGCCCTCCCAGCCAATGGGAGCCCGGGCTGCGCAGGCCAGCCCCATTCCTGCAGCCTCCGCGGGGGCGTGGGCGGGGATCCCCTTGCTGCGACTGTTGCTCGCGCCCGCGGGCTGGCGAGACCGGCGGCGGCGGACAGGCGAGCAGGTGAGGGGACCCAGGAGGACAGGGCCGGGGTTAGGGTGCTGCGTTCTGGATCCCGGAGCTGCTCTTGGGGTCTTGGTCCAGGTTTTCGTCGGATGTTGTGGAGCTCTTGTCAGCAGGTCCTTCCCCCAAGGCTGGAAGAGGTTCACACACCTCTTTAGACGGAAGGGGAGAGGGAACAGAGAGGAGGGCAGCCTGGGACCTGGGGATCTCTGGGGGCCAGGGAATCTTTGAGGCCCTTGGCCGCAGCTGTCTCAGGTTCTGAGTCCTCTCGAGGCCTGAACCCCTGGGGCTGGCCTACCCACAGACAGAGGAGAGGTGGTACAGTGAACTGTCCTGGCCCAAATTTGTGTCACACTGCTTGAAGCCCTAGGACCTGAAATAATCCTATCTCCACTCTGTCAACCTCTACTGAAGACTGGGGACCAACCGGAATAGATGACTCAGCTGACAGCAGAAACTAACTAGGGATGAAAGAGAGGTTCCCACCTGCCTGCTTGTATAAACGGCTCCAAAAGTCCATGATGGTGCCTGAACTGGGCAGTTCTCTGGCCTGGGGTAGGAGAGGAGAGGGGCCAAGGCATGGGAGGCAGACTGCTCAAACCAGAGGGAAGGGTGGAAGTTCTGGGGGGCAGCAGGAGCAGCATTCACACCCGTCCCCCAATGCCTGCTCTCCCTGCGCAGGTCTGGAGCACACACTCCTGAGAAGCAGCGGAGGTGGGGGGATCCCGGTCCCTGAGAACCCTGTCTGCACAGAATGCTGATGGAGCTGGGGGCATGCGGGACCCTCCTCTCAAGGGCTAGCAGGTTCCTTCTGGACCTATAGGGCGCCGCCCCAGTCTAGCCACCATGGCGCATGGTTTCGCAGTAGGCTTCGACCCACTGGGCCTCGGAGACCTGAACTCCGGCTCTCTGAGCTCCCTCTCCTCCCGAGGCCACCTGGGCAGCGAGTCGGGCTCGGCAACGCGATACCTGCTGAGGAAGCAACAGCGGCTGCTGAATGGGCCCCGCCGCGGAATTCGAGCCTCATCGCCCATGGGCCGCGTCATCCTCATCAACTCCCCCATCGAAGGTGAGGGCGGGGCCCCGCCACTGGGCTGGGGACTGCGGGTGGAGGTAGGGGACAGCCAGCACTAAGGAGGAGGAGGCAGAGCCAATATGGGTGAGGGAGCTCAAGAGACGCGCGAGTCTTAGGGATGTGGGAGGAGATGGCCTCTGGTAATCCCTAGACTCTTTCTCATCTAGTCTTCTCTCATCTTCAGGCCAGTCCTTTAGGGTCCAGGATTGTGGAGAGGTCAGAGGTGGGATATCCTGGCCTGGAGGCAGGGAAGGGGTGTGTAGTATGCTAGCCTTCAAATGAGCAAGAGGAGGCATTGAAATGGGCCCTCCCTCCGACGGACTCTTCCTTTCTCCAAACCCATTTGTGTGTGACTTTGGGGGGTTTGGGGGTTGGGGCAGGATGGAGAAGGACATTCTTCATCAACCAGCCCATTGTGCACCCAGCTCTGCAGGGCTGTGAGGAGTCAGTGCCCAGCTGGGTAGAGAGAATTAGACTTCAGGAGCAGAGGATGGAAAGAGAAGTAGAGTGGAAGATGTTCCAAAGAGAAAGAGAAGAGGGTCGAGGGTCGGGAGGAAGCCTCAGGTCTGGGCTCTGGAGTAGGGAGACACCTAATCTTACATAGTTGCTTAATGACCTTTCATTTCACACCTATTCTATACCAGCCCTCGTTAGGTCCTGTGGGGGACCTACAGAGAAATAAGGCTCAATTTTCACCTTCCAGAAATTTACAGTGTAGCAGGGCTTAGAGACAGAGCAATAAAAGCAGCTGGTGGTGGGGTGGATAGATCACAGACAAAGGTTTAAAGTGGAAAGCGTGGAGCATGGTGACAACCTGGCTGCAGTGACAGATGTGAGGCGACAAAAAGCTGGTGATCAAGGCAGGACCTTGAATGCCAGCAGGGAGTGGGGGCCGCCTCAGCCTGGGCTTTCTGCAGGCAGGCCAGATAAATATCTCCAGCTCCCCTCCTCTGTCTCAGCCAGCAGAGCTCCCCTGGCTGGATCCCAGATTGAACTTTTCACACCCTGCTCCTCCTCTCTGACCCAGCTGGGTACCTCTGTTCCCCTACCCAGGCCCCAGGGCAGGGGTGGAGCCTGTTGGTCAGGGAGCAGGCTTTCCTGCCCCAGTGGCCCAGCACGCTCACCCCCATCTTCCACCACATTTGGCCTCACCCTCAGGTGAGCAACAGGGTGCTTCTGACAGTCACCATTGCCATTCTGGTCATGGAGCAGAAGTTCCCAGACTAAAAGCTAGGAGACAGGGAGGGCTGGGGCACTGCAGCACTGCCCTTGTAAATCCCATTGTATTAAAAGAACTAGGCCATACCTCCCCCTCACACACCCACTTACACCACGCCCAGCTACAGTTATGATGCAGGGGCTCTGTACTGTTCCTCTAAAGATCCTCTTCCAGAAGTTCCTGAGTTCTCTTTCCCTCTGCCTCTCGCAGTGCCCCAGAGCAGCCAGGGAGTAGCATTCCCTAGCAATGGAAGGACTGGGGCGTTGCTCTGACCAGCTGGCCCCTAGCCTGTCTAGGCTGGGAGTCTCTGAGCTTAGAACTGTCCCCTCTGCCTGAGCACAAACATCTCCCAACTCACCACAGCCTGGAGTCCCTTCCCCATGTTGTTGTTTAGACCATTCCAGAGGCCTAAAGTAACTGATAACGGAGACACAGTGGGAAGCGGGACACTGCTCATCACCCACAAGAATTCCCACCAGCTCCTCAGACTCAGTGGATCCCAGAGAAGCGGCATTATCTTTAATCCCAACCAGCCATCTCTCCTCACTCTCCCAGCTCACTCATTTATTCATTATTCTGCTTATTACTTCATTTATTGTAAAAAGACTTAGCAAATATCAAGCCCTGTGCAACACACTGGGGATGCATCTGTGAAAAAGAATGACTAACTCCCTGCCGTGATTGAGCTTACAGTCTGGTGAAAGGAGAGAGAGAATAAATAATACACAAATAAACAACTAATGAGAAAGGATGGCAAGAATCTTGATGGTACTATTTTGGATGATATGATAGAGTAGTGGTCCTCAGACTTCAGAATACATCAGATTTGCCTGTCAAAAGACAGATTGCTGGGCCCTACACCCAGAGTGTCTGATTTAATGGGTCTGTAGTAAAACCCCCAAATTCACATTTTTAATAAGTTTCTAGGTGCTCCTGATGCTACTGGTCTAGAGAGCTCGCTTTGAGAACTGTTCTAACAGAGACGATCTGGAAGGAGGGGGAAGAGACTCTTACGTAGGGTTGTCTAGGAAGGCTTCTCTGAGAAGCGGTGTCTGAGCCAGGAGGAACTGGGAGCAGGCATGGTCTGGGCAAAAGCATCGCAAGCAGAGGGAACACTGTAAGGGCTGACCTGTGAGAGGAACAGGAGGGAGGTCATGAGGCCAGGGAGGCCGACCAGAGCTGAGGGTAGAGAGGTGGGCAGAGGGAAGCCCAGGGAGGGCCCTTACTGGGCATGGTAGGAATGTGGAGTTCGTTCTGGAAGCAGGGACAGGCACTGAAGTTTTTAACCGTAGGAAAGACATGATCTAGTATGAAAGCTGACTCTGTGTAGAGAGTGGATTAAAGGAGGCAGGAGTGGAAGCAGAAAGATAGTGAAGAGGCTGCTGAGTGCCTAAAGGGATGTCTGGTGGCCGGGCTAGAGCAGTGGAGGTAGAGACGGTTCCATCCTCAGAGGCCCCAAGTTCCTAGGCTCAAAACCCCAGATTTGACATCTCTCTGGCCCAGGGCCCTAGGGAGGCCCCAGGGAGGGATGGAGGAGAAAGAGGGCTGGAGGGCGGGAGAGCAAAAGATTCCTTGGCTGGGCTGAGAAGGTCCTGATACCTGTGCAGATAGAATCAGCTGGCTATGGGCTCAAAATCACTCAGAAAGGACTCAGAAGCTACCTGCCTCCCCACTCATTTAGGGTCTTGGGTGCCTGTGCTCAGCAACCCAGCCTTTGCAGGCCCCAAATTGAGGAGCCCAGGGGTCCTCTGTGCCCAGAATGGGCAGGGGAGTCATGCCTATGTCCCCACCCCGACAGCCAACAGTGACGAAAGCGACATCATCCATGCAGTCCGAGTGGAGAAGAGTCCAGCCGGGAGGCTGGGGTTCAGTGTGCGGGGAGGCTCTGAGCACGGCCTGGGCATCTTCGTCAGCAAAGTGGAGGAGGGGAGCAGTGCAGGTGAGCGGGGCCCCCAAGGGTGAGGTTCTGGCTTAGGATGTGACCCCTACCTCGGTGGAGTGCAGAGATGCTGTTGTCAGGGGTGGGAGGAAAGGACCCTCAGCTTTGGATGGCCTGATCTAATGGGGCAATAGAAGGTCCCTAGTCTGATGGAGAATATTCAGACCCTACCTGAGAATCCCAATCTCATGGAAGAAGTTTCACCTCAGGGAGCCCGGTCTGATGGGGGAGGCTCAGCCTCGAACTGGGGGACTTCTCCCACGTCAGCCACCTCCCTCCTCTGGTGCAGAGCGGGCTGGCCTGTGTGTGGGGGACAAGATCACGGAGGTGAACGGACTGAGCCTGGAGAGCACCACGATGGGCAGTGCCGTGAAGGTGCTGACAGGCAGCAGCCGCCTGCATATGATGGTGAGGCGCATGGGCCGTGTGCCGGGCATCAAATTCTCCAAGGAGAAGACCACGTGGTGAGCAGGCCTAGCCTCCCTCTCACCCTACTCCCCACCCCCTGTTCCCCACCCCAGCACCACCACCCCGAGCCGTGAGGGAGAGGCCAAGGGCACAGGTCTCAGCCCAGGGCCTGGCTATTATAGCTTCCGTTTCCCCAGCCCCTGGCACTGGAAACACAGGAGTCCCAAGGTCTGACCCTGAAATGAGAAAGGGCTGTGTCTTTCCCCCAGCCCTCCTCCCAACACCCTGCCGTCCTAGACCCCAGTGGCCCTTCCCCTGTGCTGCTGCTGCAGCGATGAACCTGGGGAATCATACAGCGCCTGCCTCTCCCCAGGGGCTCGGGGAGGATTCCAAATGGGGCCTGGCAGTTGGAGCTGCTCAATAAAAAGAGATTTGCATGGTTTCCCTGATTTGATGAAATCTATGTCCCACTGAAGATCTCAGGCCTAAGTGTCCCCAAAGGCAGCCCCACCTGTTGTCTTGGCTCCTGGGAGGAGACGGGTGGATGGCAGTGGATGGTGGCCCAGGCTGAGAGCCCTGTGCTGTCGTCCAGGGTGGATGTGGTCAATCGACGGCTGGTCGTGGAAAAGTGCAGCTCAACACTGTCCGACAGCAGCTCAGAGGATGGCGTGCGGCGCATCGTCCACCTCTACACGACCTCTGACGACTTCTGCCTGGGCTTCAACATCCGCGGGGGCAAGGAGTTTGGCCTGGGCATCTATGTGTCCAAGTGAGTACTGGGGCAGAGTATGAAAATGGGTCGGGCTGGGCTGGGACCTGGGGATGGGTCAGCAAGTGAGTTCTGGCCAAAGACATGTCCGCATGACCTAGGTCAGCAGTGGGATGTGGACAGAGAGGCTGGGGTCACCAGGAGGAGAGTCAAGGAGTTTGACTGGGCATCCCCATATCCAAGTGAAGAGTCTGGAATGGGGTGAGGGAGGGCAGGCAAGGTGACCTATCAGACTGCCTCTTGTCTGACCCCAGGGTGGATCACGGTGGACTGGCCGAGGAGAACGGCATCAAGGTGGGGGACCAGGTCCTGGCGGCCAATGGTGTCAGGTTTGACGACATCAGCCACAGCCAGGCCGTAGAGGTGCTGAAGGGCCAAACACACATCATGTTGACCATCAAGGTGGGCAGGACTGTGGGAGACAGGGGGAAGCCAGACTATAGGAAGGACTTCCCAGACCACCCTAGCACTTAATGTTGCCCATGGCTCTGCAACTTATGACTTTCCACAGCCATGTGAGAGGTAGGGCAGGCATTGTTCTCATCCCTATTTCACAGAAGAAGAAACTGAGGCTCAGAGATGCAACGTAACTCAGAAATCACAAGCAATTACTCAGCTGGTCAGTAGTAAGACCTGGTTCCATCCCTGCCCCCCAGATGCTCGGGCCATTGCCTCTTCATATGAGTGGTGGAGGTCTAGGATTGAAAGAATGTCCAGCTCAGAAGGGTGGGTTGAAAACTGTGGCTTTGGGCAGGACCTGGGTGGTGGGCATCCTCAGGGCACAGGGCAGGGAGAGCTGGGCTGGAGCCAGAGATTGGATTTCAGTGGAGGCGCCTGGATTCATTATTCATGTGGGTTTCACACTGGCCTAAGGATCGGGTCCTTCTCACCCTGGCTCCCAGAGTTGGTGATGTCTCACTCTTCCCTAGGGCCCAAATCTGGCCTCTGGCCCACTCTTCTCCCTTCTAAGTCTTCATCCATCTCACCCTTCCATGCCTCCTCGCCATACCCCCAGCCTCTCCCACATCCCATTTCTCCCTTTCCTTTCTCTCAAATTATCCCAAACACTCCTTCTCTCTCCCACTCTGCTCCCATTCATTCATTCATTCAATATTTTTGAGTACCTACTACATAACGGCCACTATACCTGATACTGGAGCTATGACGGTGAACAAGACAGACAAGGTCTCTGCTACTGGAGGGAGACAGACCAACTAGATGCGTGCAGATTGTGACAACTGCTATAAGGAAATTAATAGAGGGGGAGGTGGGGTAATTTGGGAAGGCCCTTTTAGCTCAGGTTTCAGGACCTTTTAGCTCTGAGGAAGTTCTACCTTAAGAGGGAGAAGGGGCTGGTCATGAGATGAAGGAAGAGAATCCAAGCAGAAGGAACAAGTGCAAAGGCCTTGAAGTGTAGAGGAACTTGGCACATTCAGAAAGGAAGCAGCCCATGTGGCTAGACCCTGATGAACTTAGAGGAGAGTCATGGGGTTGAAAAGTTGACTCCTGTCCCATCATGCCACCGTTCTTACCCTCCTTTCTCACCCACTCCCCTGTGCCCTCCCGTGCCCACCCTCCTCAGGAGACTGGCCGGTATCCTGCCTACAAGGAGATGGTTTCTGAGTACTGTTGGCTGGACCGACGTAAGTAGCTGGGCCCTAAGTTTGGAGGGAAAGAGCTGAAGCCTCAGGGTGGGGCTGGGAGAGTAAGTGGGCAGGGCCACCAAGATCTCTTTGGGACTTTCACATGCCCAGAGCCACTTCTGAGCTCCCCTCTTGAGAAGTTGCAGGTTCCATTCCAGGCTCTCCTGGGGTCTGGAGTCCCAGGGCTGAATGGACGAGAAGTGACTTGCTTAAAGTCTCTCAACAAGTCAGTGGCAGGACTGCTGAGCAGCTGGTTCCCTAGACCTTGTGATTCCAACATTGCTGCTGCCCAGCGCTCCCCTCCTCCCAAGCCCATGGGTAGTCTGCAACCCTGGCAGGGCTCCAAAGCAACCCAGCCATACCCCTGAGATGCCCCTGCCTTCCCCACTGCCTGCAGTGAACAACGGGGTGCTGCAGCAGCTGTCCCCCGCCTCTGAGAGCAGCTCCAGCGTCTCCTCATTCGCCTCCAGTGCCCCCTACAGCTCTGCCGAGGGCTCAGGCTCCCTGCCCTTGGACCGCATGGATGTCTGCCCAGGGCCTGAGAGGCCAGGCAGCCAGGGCCCAGGCTGGGGGCGGGCAGACACAGCCATGCAGACCGAGCCCGACGTGGGAGGCCGTGTGGAGACCTGGTGCAGCGTGCGGCCCACAGTCATCCTCAGGGACACAGCCATCCGCTCTGACGGCCCCCTGCCTACCCGCCGCCTGAACTCTGCACACTCTGAGTCCCCCAAAACTGCTCTGCTACTGGCCCTCAGCCGACCCCGGCCCCTCATCACACGCTCACAGAGCCACCTGACCTTATGGGGTACGTGGGGGACGGGTGGCTGCTGCTGTCTCCAAAGCTCCAGGTCCAAAACCTGTCTTGCACCCTGTCCTGGGCCCAAACCTTCCTTTGCTCCAGGCTTTGCTCCAGCCCCAACCCCAGAATACAGTCAGACCCTGCACTGGGTTCCATTTTAAACTAGTCCTGAGCCTCAAACCTACCCTCCATCCCAGTCCCAGCTCCAGTCAGCTCTGGGCCCCAAATCAGCCCCTAACCCAGACCCTCCATCCTGGAGTTCCCAGGCCTGTCTACACACATACTCCTCGCAGAGCTTGTAGCTGGGGCAGGAAGGGGTGGAAAGTTGGAAGAGGAACGCGGCCCCCCATCCTCATCCCTAACTCCCCACTCGGCTGCAGATCCTGTGTGCCCCCTATGCTTCCTTCTCTCTGCTTTCTCTCTGCCTGTCCCCACACCCCTGCCCCTCGTCCTTCCCTTTTGCCCACCCCTCCAGCCCCCCGGGTGCTCCCTCGTGTCTGCAGAGGAGAAGAAGCAACGGAGGAAGGAGAAGTCGGGGTCCCCTGGGGATAAGGGGGCCCTGCAGCGCTCCAAGACCCTGATGAACCTCTTCTTCAAAGGAGGGCGGCAGGGGCGCCTGGCAGGGGATGGGCGCAGAGAGGCCTGGACGCTGGACAGCGGGAGCCCCACCAAGCCCCGCCCCCGCCTGGACCTGGAGAAAGGTAAGCCCTGGACCAGTCAGACCTGGAGGACAGAGGGAAAATCCACTTTGCATCCAGCAGCTCTGAGCTTAAATCCCACACTGCCTCTTACCAGCTGTGAGCCATCACTTCACCCTGCAAGCCTCATGAATAAAATGGGAGTAGTAATACCTACTTCTTTAGGAATAATAAAGAATAAGTGAGCTAATGTATGTTAATCACTTGGTACATTATTTGACACAAAGAAGGTGCACAGAAAATGTAGTGGTCCTTGTTATACTACCTTATCTTCCCATTTTACAGAGGGGAAAACTGATGTGTCACAGCACAGATGAAAATACCTTGGGTCAGATCCCTGTGCTCTTGGTGCTGAGGGGAGGCAGGACACTCCTTTCCTAGAGCATTTGGCTTCACCCTCCCTGGCCAGAGCTCCCCACAGGCCCCACCCAGTTCTAGAACCATCTTGAGCAAAGCCATTTCTAGATTAGGACTCAGGCAGAAGGGCCTAGGCAGGCTTCACTCATGTTGAGGCCTTCCTAAGGACCCTTACAGAGAGCCTCTCATCAGTCTGGTGAGGTTCAGAGACTGGACCAAAAGTGGGATGAGATGAGACTCCTGGGGTTACCTGGGACAGGAACTCAACTCAAACTAGCTTTAAAAGGCACTTCTTGGCTCAGGTACTGATTTAAGCTGGGTCTAAAGATTTAAATAATCTCATCAGACATCTGCCCCCTTCATCTTTTGGTTCCTCTTTCCCCTGGATTGGCTTCATTATTACTGGCTTTGCCACTTAGAGATAAAAAGACCACTGTTGCTTAGCAACCCAGGGGAAGGTGTGTCTCTTTTAATAGTTTCAGCTAAAGTCTCAAGCTCTCATTGGCCCAGCTGGGATCATGTTCCCAACACATCACTTGTGATGTGGGAAAGAGAGTTCTTTTATCAGCCAGCTTAGATCACATATCCACCCTAGAGTACAGGGACTGAGAATTGGGGCGGGGGTGTCCCCAGGTGAAATCAGGGTGCTGTTTCCAGAAGGGTGAGTGGATGCTGGGTAGACAAAAACAACCAGAGGATGCGCTGGGCCTTGCCCCTCCCAGAGGTCTCAAGGTGACAGTCCCATCAGAGACAATCCCTTCAAATCAGGACCGGCCAGCCCCCTCCCTAAACTCATCTCTCTTTCCACAGACCCCAGGGCCCTGCTCTCTTCTGGTTCTCCTCCCACTTCTCTGGCCACTCCTCTCTCTCCTTCAAAGATTCCTCTTTTTCCCTTTGTCCCTGGAAGGTATGTGCTCCCCCAAGATTTGCCCTTGGGGTTCTTCCCTCTTTTATTTGCTCCCAAATGAACCTCCATAAGCAGAGCAAGACTGCACCCTCTCTTTATTCAAAACCTTCACTGACCCCCCATTGCCTATGAGCCAAGTCTCTGGCCTGAGCTTGGCCTTCAAGACCCTCCTCAATATCCTCGCTTTGTGCTTCCCAGTCTCATCACCTTCATTCCAGCCAGTGATCCAGCCAGTCCTGAGCCCCCTAACCGCTATTTTCAGACTGGGGACCAGGGCCTGAAGCTGAACCTCTTTCTTCTTCATAGCAGGGGGAGTGGGACCTGTGCAGAAGTTTGTCACCTGGAGACTGAGACGCGGTAAGTCCCTCTACCAAGGCCTGGTTTACAGTAGAGCTGCAGATGGGCTACACATCAGGGGTAGTAGCTAAGGGGCTTTGAGCTAAATTCAGCTGGGGCCAAGCATGAGGAATCAGACAGATGGGGAGGTACATAATGGGGGCACCTGAAAGATTGGACTAAGCTTACTAGGAAAGATAGGGTAAGCAGACAGATATTGGGGTTCATTTTTGAGGACTGGGAGCTTGAGCTGGGACTCCTAAAGACAGATTTTGGGGTGATGAGGGACAGAGCCTTACTAGAACTCCAGTGGGGAAGAGACTAGTATGACAGGTACATGTTCAGAGCCGGCCAAGGGGGCAATGGGCTAGGACTCCGTTAAGGAACAGACTGGGATAGGGGTCTGTGTTTGCGGGCTGAGGGGCCTGGATTGGCACTCCAATCATGGGAAGATTGCTGTGGGAGGCCATGGTGGGGAGCATCTGGACTAGGCTGGGATTCCAGCAGGGGCACCTGGGGGTCTGGCTCCACTGAGAGGAGCCACAGCCTCCTCTCTTGATAGCTCCTGGCTCCTTCATCATACCTCTTTGCTCCTGCCCTGCAGACTGGGAGAGGGGCCAGGCCCTGCTTTCTGCCAGGTCTGGGAGCCCCTCTAGCCAGCTTCCCAGTGTGGATGAGCGGGTACAAGCCTGGGAAAGCCGCCAGCCTCTGATTCAGGACCTGGCCCGAAGGCTGCTGACTGACGACGAGGTGCTGGCGGTCACCCGCCACTGTTCCCGGGTGAGCCTCCAGCCTACCACCAGCGCGGGCACATGGTCACTCAGTCACCCAGTCCCTCATTCATTCAGGCCACTATCTGTTGACCAGTATCTGGGCTCAATGCTGTGAGGCCAGTTGTCAGTAAAAGCAGAAGTCACCTTGGTCACATCCACACTTGCTCATGCGTGCACGCGTGCATGTACGCGCGCGCGCACACACACACACACACACACACACTGAGCTCACAGCCAGGAAGGAGAAATAGACAGTAACTAGAACCTAAACACCCATAGTGACAAGTCATGTGAAGTGCTGTGGAGAAAAGGAACATGAGAAGATAACCCAAGAGACACAAATTAGTTGGTGTGGTCTGGGAGGACCTCCCTGAGGAGGTGATATTTAAACTGAGGAGAGAAAGAGCCAGACAAGTAATGAGTCTGGGATGTGAGTCCCTGTAGTCACCTGCCCTGGTCTCTTCTAAACCCCAGCCTTCCCTAAGTCCATGCCAGGATTGGTATGTGCCCTCTAAAACCCAAAGAGCACATACCAATCCTGGGTCAGCCAACAGGCCCGGCCTCATGCCAGGCCCCCTCTTCCGTTCCCCAAGTAAGTAATCTTTTGTCGCCCCACACACTCCAGGCCTCCCCTAACACCTTCACTGTTATTTGCTGTTCCCTTCCACTTCAGACAGAAGCAGAGGGCCTCAGTGTTGGGGAAAGGATAGATCTGAAGGCATTTTTTGCAGCCTGAATTTTCAGGAGGCTTCAGGAGGCATAGGTCACCCCCTCCAGGAGGACTGGAAGGCCCTCTCCTATCCCTCTGTCTCAAGAATCCCCCGGAGGGTATCCTAAGATGAATTCCCTGTGATGCATGTGCGTCAGTGCACAAGTGAGCCTGTGTATGAGGACAAGAGGAAAAGTTTCAGGAAATCGTTTGTGGTTCCCCCACTCCCTCACCTTGGACAGGGTGCAGTTGTGTTTGTGTGACATGTTCATTTGTATATCCATGGGGTACTTGGGTTTGTGTTGCTTTAACTGTATGGTTGTATCTGTGTGTGTGTAACCTGGAGACTGAGGCGTAGTAATTCTTGCATCCTTTTACTAAGACCTGGTTCACAGCAAAGCTGCATATGGGGGTGCATGCTGAGGGGCCGCTAAGGGCCTTTGGGCTAAACTCAGTTAAGTGTCACGCCCAGCTCTGAGTGCTAAGTGGGGCAGTGTGTACCAGCCTCCGTGAGCCTGCGGCTCTGGGATCTAGCCACTAGGTGGGGCTCTGCATCTGTTCCTCTGGCCAGCTCTTTTCTCTCATCCTTCTGCTCCTCTCACCCTGCCCAAGCCATGCCCCACAGCATACCACCCAAACCTGACCCAAGCCCCACCCACACCAAGAGATCAGATCCTAAGGGTGGACCCTGGCTGGAAAGATTAGTAAAGCTCCCCTAGTGACTTGGATGTGTGGCCCTGAACCCCAGGCCTCCCCTCTCTTTCTGAGCCATCTCCCCACAGCTGCCAGACCAGGCATTATAAACCACTCCTCTGGTCACTCTCCAAGCCCCCTTTGCTGCCTCTTATGCTTATCCTCGTGTTCAAGGCCCTCCCTGCTTTGACTCCCCAACCAACTAACCTCTGCTTTTCCATGGTCACCACATCGCATCATCATCTTCCCCTGGTGTAACATATAGCCTAGGTTTATAGAGATTACGAATCACACAACTGTAGGGGCAGTATGCACGTTGTAGTCACAGCCCGCACAGCCTACATGGAGGCCTTTCATGTACCCCATAGTCAAGTTAAACTTCTAATGACCTGATATTCCACATCACCCTTGGAGCACTTTCCTTTCAGCTTTCATGCTGTTCCCTGCATGTATCCTCAAGAGTTAGTGTAAATGCCACCACCTCCATGAAGCCTACTCTGATCTTCTCACCCTTCTCTGAGACTCCCTTTGCCCTATCGCCAGTAGTTTGTAGTTTATTGGGCCATGTGGCTTTTTGTTTTGCCCCCTCTGCCCAGAACAAAACCTGGCACTTAATAAATGCTGACCACAGGTTTATGGACATGAAGTGTGTACACATATGTGACTGGTTCTGTACAATTATGTGTATCTCTCTCTAGGCAAAAGGGGGTGTGTTGTCCATATGTGTTTGTGTGAGTTCCTGTAACTTTGTGTGTGGTTTTGGACCACACACAGTTTATATTATATTTATTTATAGATATTTATGAATGTCTCAGTCTGGCCACCAGGGTGTGCTGTTTCTCTGTGTCCATGCCCACCCACCCGGGATGCTTGGTGTGTGTCCCAGAATCAGTACTGTCTCCTTCACGGCACCAGGGGGCAGTGTGCTGTCCAAGTAGGGTGGTTCCCAGTGTTCAGTTTGCCAGTTTGTCGGTGGGGTGTGGCTGGTGGCATCCGGGCAGTGCCAGGCAGAAAGGCCTCCACCACTCTGGGGACGGACCGGAGAGGCTTTCTATAGGGCCACCCCTTCCCCAAGGTCCCCATTGCAGACTTGAACAATGCCTAATTTGTGGGTCTGTGTGCAGACACAAGCTGGGACAGCCAGGCGCACAGCCTAGCATTTGGCTCAAATTCCTTCCTTCTGCCTGGGAGGTGGGGGCGGGGAGGAGAGTCCACTCCCTGCATATCCTTTTCCGGTACCAGAGCAGGCAAGGGCCAGATTTCTCAGGTTCCAATCCCTCTTCACACTTCCTTATCTGTGTGGCCTTGGGCAAAGTCCTTCTCTCTGAGCCTCAGTTCCCTCATCTGTAAAATGGGGGTAGTTGCTGTCATCTTTCAGGGTGTTAAATGAGAGACCACAGGTAAAAGGCCTAGAAAAAGGCCCACAGCTGTTGCTGTTGTTGCTGTTACAGCTCTGTTATTATTATTGAAAGCTTCTACCCAGTCACCAAGATAAGACCATCCTGAAGACAGCCTGGGTTGGGGAGAACCTTTCCTAAGCATGGGGGCCCCTCTGCACCCAGGCACTCCCCCTCACCCAGCTCTGGCAGTCCCCGCTCCTATCTGACCGGTGGTGCCTCTCTCCGCAGTACGTGCATGAGGGCGGTGTGGAGGACCTGGTGAGGCCCCTGCTGGCCATTCTGGACAAGCCTGCAAAGCTGCTGCTGCTGAGGGACATCAGGTGAGGAGGTCTTAGGGGTAGGAAGGAGACCCCTGATACCTCTCCCAACCTCCCCAGGGCTGAAGCCCCTCCAGGCACCTCCAGAACCGAGCCCTGCCACCCTCTATCTCTTGCCCTCCCCCAGGAGTGTGGTGGCTCCCACGGACCTGGGCCGCTTCGACAGCATGGTGATGCCTGTGGAGCTGGAGGCTTTTGAGGCCCTCAAGAGCCGCACAGGTCAGCTGCCAGGCGGGGCTGTGGATCCTGAGCCCCAGGTGGGGCCTGCCAGTGGGGAGGGGCAGAGATTGCCTGAGCCCCTTCAGCTGTGCCCATCAGGGAGCCTTGTCCCTGACCCATTCTCTTCTCCAAGCAGGACGGCCTCCTGCCTTGCGACCAGCCCGCCAGGACACACCGCCTAAGCGTCACCTCATCACCCCTGTGCCTGGTCAGTCAGAGTCCCAGAGCCCTGGGAGGGGGCATGCCGCAGGGGGATTGGGGAAGGGAGGATGGGCCTTCCATCCCTGTCCCCACGTTGGGTGTCATGGCTTCAGAGGTACGTGTGGTTCCCTGAAGGAAAGCCCTCGTCTACCAGCACCATTTTTATCATGTCCACTCACCATCTGTACTATTATTTACTTAATAATTGGTTTTAAACCCACTTGCTTTTTAAATCTAGTCTCAGTAATCTCTGAGAAATTACCAGTTTGGTGTGGGAGTTATATTTTTTTCTTAGCCATGCTAAAATAAAACTTTAACTTTTACAATAGAGAGTATTAAAACACCACAGCGATAGAGCTGGGCAGCATCCCTCACGCCCTGAGCAGGCCCAGGCCCGGCCGCCCCACGCCAGCTCCTGCCAGCCTGGGCCTGAGGGCGGCCTGACCTTGGCCCTCTTCCCCAGACAGTCGTGGAGGCTTCTACCTGCTTCCTGCAAACGGCTTCTCGGAGGAGGAAGACGATGGGGAGCTGAGGGAGCGGCTGGGAGGCCTCCAGGTCTCCCTGGGTGCCTCTGCCCCCCGCCACCCTCATAAAGGCGCCCCCCCTCTCCAAGATGTGCCAGTAGATGCTTTTGCCCCACACCGAAGCGCCTGCACACCCCCTCCCCAGCCACCCCCCACTGCTCCCCGGCCCCCGAGGCCCAACTGGCTGCTGACAGAACCCTTGACCCTCGAGGACCCTCAGCAGAGCTGGAGCCAGGGCCCAAGCCAGAGCCGCAGCCGCAGCCGCAGCCGCAGCCGCAGCCGGGGCAGAGGCAAGTCCCTTGGACGCAGGCGTTCCCCATCCCCGGCACCTGCCTCCACTCCCAGCATGGCCAACGGGCGCTGCCACAAGCCTCGGAAAGCCAGGCCCCCTCTGCCACGACCTGTGGATGGGCATGTGGCCAAGGCAGGGGGCAGGCAAGGGCCCTCTGAGAATGGAACTGCGGGGACAGCCGAGAAGGCAGCCACGAAGGCCCCTAGTGGGGAGCTGAGGACCGTCACGCTGTCCAAGATGAAACAGTCCTTGGGTGAGTCTGGGTGGAACTGGGCCTGGCAGGGGGCTCTTGGGTGTGGTGAGGTTGGTGGGCCTGATTTTGGGGTATAACTAGGGGACCTGGGACTAGGAAAAGAATCTGGGTGTTGAGGTATAGTGGGAAGGGTCTAGATTTGGGAAGTTTGGGATCTTGAGTAAGTTGAGGTTGGAGTAGTAATAGAATCTGGGGCTTTGGGAGAAGTCAGGGGCCCTCTATTTGGGACTCTTGAGAGCTTTGGGTTTTAGAGGTGTGAACACCGCACTCTATCCCAGTGTTTCTCCCTCTTATTAGGCATCAGCATTTCTGGGGGCATTGAGTCCAAGGTGCAGCCCATGGTGAAGATAGAAAAGATCTTTCCTGGGGGTGCCGCCTTCCTCAGTGGGGCCCTTCAGGTGGGTAAAGGGCACCCGGGCCCACTCCCTAGGCCCAGAGCTGAATTCTGGCTGGGGGCAGGGCTGGAACATGCTCATCTTCCAGCCAGACATGTTTAGACCAGGTGGTGGGAGGAGGCTTGGGAGCAGGGGGGTCAGGCCTGCAGGAGGAGCAAGCCTAGGGGAAAAATCTGTCCCCTCATGCCAGCCTGGGCCTGAGGGCAGTCCGTCCTGTTCCACCCCTAGCCCCAAGGGACAAAGGGCCATTGTCTGGGCCCCACCCTGCCCCCAACAGCTCCAGGCACAAAAGTCCCATTGTCCATCCCTTCCACCCAGATAGGGAGGAGTGTCCTAGCTGGTGGAGGTGAGAGGTTGGCTGATGGGGTGGGGGTGACCTGAGGAGGGAGGACTGTGATTCTCCTACCCCCACCATCCCAGGCTGGCTTCGAGCTTGTGGCCGTGGATGGAGAGAGCCTGGAGCAGGTGACCCACCAGCGGGCAGTAGACACTATCCGCCGGGCTTACCGCAACAAGGCTCAGGAGCCCATGGAGCTTGTGGTCAGGGTCCCCAGGCCCGAGCCACTACCCTTACACCCTGCCTCAAACCTCACTGATCAGCAGCTTCCTGCTGACCATTCCCCAGCACGCTGACCCCTTGGTGGTACTCCAGTAACCTCCCACTGGCTCCCAGAACCTCCCACTAATGCCCTTCCCACCCATACCCAGAGCCCTCCCACTGCCAGACTTCTCCAGCTGACCCCTAGCCCAGTCCTCTCCAGTCCTCCTGATTCTAATCCCAGGCTCTTCCTAGCTATTCCTTAACTCTTCCCACTCACCCCAGAGAATCCTCCTGCCATCCTTTACTAACCTCCTCAGGACTCAGGAACCTCCCACTCCTGCTTGCCTTGCCTACTCCTCAAGCTCCACACTGGTGGCTCAGATCCCCTGCCCCCACCTTTCTCCCTCCCCAGTTGTCACTAAGGCTCTGCCCATTCCAGATAAACTTGGTGTCAAGGACAAGGTGCTACTGGTCAGCCTGTGACACCCACCCACTGCCCCCAACCTCCCAAGACAGGAACAGGGTGGAGAAACCCAAGGTCTGGAGCTTGAGATTGGTGTGCACTTTCTCCTGATTCCCCCAAGCAGTGAGGGACAGGGACTCTCAGATGGGGCCCTCAAGGGGTCACTGCACCCAACCCCAAGCCCCAAGCTCCAAGCAGTACAAGGGACAGTATGGGAGGCTTTTCTAGTTTCTCAAACTCCAAGAGACCATTATGTTGTGGTCCACTAGGACCTCAGACTTTCTACTGGATTTATCCTTCCCCCAACACCTTTTCTCCCCTTAAGATCTCTACGAGGGGTAGGGGTATAGCCAGCAAATAAAGAGGGTGTGAAGGGTCACACAAGTTCCCATAATCTTGATCCAGCACATTCATCTTTTTTTTAAAAACAAGATTTTTTAATTTTGTCTTTGGGTTTGTACAAGAAATTTACAATGTGAAAACTATACAAGTGAAAACGAGGCCATAAACCCGGGTGTGGGAAGGGGCCACTTGGTCACAAACACAAATAAACGAGACATTTCTGAGTTCTTCCTTTGGTCTGACTACAGCCTCCTCACCCCAGGAGAGAGGCTGCAGAGCTGGAACCTGGGGGTCATACCCCAGTCCCAGCCCCTTCCCCAACATGGACAGGGTGGGGGCAGGCACATCTGGAACAGCTGGCGCTGTCTGGCTCTCTCTGGCTTTGGGGTAGGGAGAAGTGTGGAGATGAGGGAGCCCCTTTTTTTTCCCCAGCCCCCTGGCTGGGTAGGCTGGCCAGCGCCTGGGGTGAATGGGGTTGGCAGAGTGGCAATGGCAGCAGCTGGGAGTGAAATAGGTCGAGTGAGTAGGAGCCTCTCCGTGACAGTGAACATGGGGACCTTCAGGGAGTCTGATCTTGCTCATCTAAGTCATAGGGCAGCCCTGAGTCCTTGGCAGAGGCCCAGAGGCCTGGATCCCAAGGGACGAGCAGCTCTGGAGCCCTCAGTGGACCTGAGGCCACTGCCCCCATTCAGTAGAGCACAGAGCTGGATGCCAAGGCCCTAGATTTCGGTGGCAGTGATCTCCTCCAGGCAGATGCAGGGAGCCGGCTCTGCCAGACCCAGGTCAGCGAGTTCCCGGGCCTCCAGCTCCAGGCTGAGCTGTTGAAGCTCCTGCTCCAGCTGCCGGTTGCGACGGTACATCTGGATGTAGTTGTGCTGCAGCTGCTTCTGGTAGCGGATCACCTGCTCCTTCTCCGCCTGCCAGGCCAGCCGCTCCCCTTCGAAGCTGTCCCGCTGCTCCTCGCCCCTCCGTCGCTCCCGCTGTAGCTCCGCCCGGAGCCGCTCCACCTGGGCCCGCAGGCTGCCCCCCACCCCAGCTGCCGCCCGCTGTGCCTTGGCCTCATCACTCTCTGCCAGGAGGAATGGGTCAGCAGTGGCAGGTGGCACAGGAGGTTCCCGGAGACCGGCTGCCTCAGTGTCCAACTGCCCAGCTTTCTCCCGCAGCCGCTCGGCCTCCTGGCGGTGCCGCTGCAGCTCCTGAGAACAGGCCTCCAGCTCCAGCTCCCGAGTTCGGGCAGCCTCCTGGAGGCCCCGTGCCCGGCCCTCACTGACCCGCAGCGCTGCCCGAGCCTCCCGAAGCGCCACTCGCAGCGCCACCAGCTCACTGCCCTTCTGCACCAGCTCTGCTTGAGACTCCTTCAGTTGCTGCTTCAGTAGGGAAATCTCACCTGACTTCTGGCACACCTGGGGATGGGAGAGAATTGGGAAGGATGGTGAGAAGGGTTCTCCCAGGGTCAGGCCCTGACATCATGCTGGGCATTTGGGGAGAGGTTTGATCATTACATCCATTTTACAGAAGGAGATACTGAGACAAGCCTAGTGACACATCCAAGGTCATACAGCTATTAAGTGGCTAAAGTGGAATATAAACCCAGATCTTTTTCCTTCAAAGCTGGTGTCTTTAAATCACCATGAAGCACCAGAGCCCTATGGACTGGTTGGTGGCCAGTTTTGCAGGCTGTGCCTCAATTTCCAGTTAAGAGGCACTACAGTATCTTGGTGAAAAGTAGAGACATTGGAGCCAGACTGCCTCGGTTCAGATCTCAGCTTGGTGTGTCCTGCTGCTCCTCGCCCCTCCATTGCTTCTGCTATAGCCCCACCTAGAGCCGCTCCACCTAGGCCCTCAGGCTGCCCATGACCCCGACTGCTGCCCGCTGTGCCTTGGCCTCATCACTCTCTGCCAGCAGGAATGGGTCAGCCGTGGGTCAGTCACTGACTAGGTGTGATTTTTGGCTCCAACTTTTTTGGGTCTCACCTTCCTCATCTCTAAAATGAGGATGTTAACAGTACCCACTCCCCAGGGTTATTATGAGGACCAGATGATACACTCTGTGTAACATGCTTAGAATAGAGTAGCAAGCACTACATTCTCAGTCTTATCGACGGGAAGGCAGTAGATGGGGACGCCACTGGCTACGTGAACATTTAGAGGACCAATGAGGAGACCCCTACACCCAGAGAGGGAGGTCAGAGGGGGTGACACAAAGGTGAGGAAGGGGGGCCCTCTAGGGGTGACAGGCCGAGGGGGTGTGGCTGGGCCCCTCTTTCCAGGGCTTGCCCCCCAACAGCCCCTGCTCCCGCCCATCCTGGTCTGGCCCACCTCCCACTTGGTCTCCTCGAGTCGAGGCCCGAGCTCCCGCTGCTCCCGCTCAAAGGTGGCGCAGCGCCGCTCCAGCTGCTCACGTTCCTGCAGCAGCTGCGCAAAGTCGTCCTGCAGCTGCCGCTTCTCCTGCTGAAGCTGGAACACCTGAAGCTGCAGCAGCTGTTGGGCCCGCTGTGCCCGCTGCGCCTGGGCCACACCGTCCTCTCGCAGGGCCTCGCGCTCGCGCTGCCAGTGCCGCTGCCGTTCCTCATACACCTGCAGGGGAGAGGGCAGGCCTGGGTCCCCGCGGCTCCCCCAAACCTTGAGCCCTGGCCGCCCCCAGCTCCCCAGTCACCGACTGCCCTGGCGGCCCTGTCCTGGGCTCAGGGAGAGTGGATTCCATTCAACAGTGATAATGATTATGACAGCAATAGTAACAGCTGCTTTTATGAAAAGAGAAACAACAGCAGTAAGAAGAGCAAGCACTTACGTGGCACTTCCTAGGTGCCTGGCATTATGTCAGTCTAAGCACTTTACACCCTTTGCCTTACTTAATCCGCATGATAACCCTGAGGCCAGAAATACAGATGAGGAAAACTGAGGCTCAGTACAATTAAGTAACTTGCTCAAGTCTGAAAGACAGTAAGTGGCGGTGCTGGGTTAACAAATCTACAGGTTAAGCCAGACAGGTAGGGTGGGGATGGGGTCACAGTGCAACTACCCAACACCTGCCTCTCAGCACAGACACTATGCTCCCTGTATTCCCAGCACCTGTGGATGTCCTGCCATGCCACCCCCGTCACTGTCGCTGACCACACCTGGCACATGGTCACCTCATTCTCGTCCAGACCGTCCCGCAGCTGCTGCAGCTCTGCCTCCCGGTCTCGGAGCTTTCCTTCGAGGACACAGTGCAGCAGGGCCTCATCCGAAGGGGGGGGAGGGGGTGGGGGAGGGGGTGGGGAGGCGTTCCCCACAGGAACTGCTGTCAGGGGAGGCCCGGGGACCGCTGCCCAAGAGCCCCCCAGCCACGCGGCCCCCCAGGGAGCCTGTGCTCTTGCTGGAGGACGATCGACCGCTGTCAGAGTGGGAGGGCCCAGCAGGGGCCCCTCGGGCTGGCCCAGGCAGTGGCCCCCTCCCAGGGCCATGGGAGGGCAGGTGCCCGCCTGGGGAGCTAGTGGCCGGCTCTGCACCCCCGGTGCTGTAAGTAGGCAAGCTGGACAGTGAGTTTCGGCCGGAGTCGGATAGCGTCCCCGACGGGCAGCCGCTGGCCCAGCCACTCAGCGTCAGAGGTTTGTCGGCTGCCGAGGAGGAGGAGGAAGAGGAGGAGGAGGCAGGGCCCCCAAACAGCTGTGTTAGGCTGCCTTGGCTCCCCGACAGTCCAGCAGCCCGAGGACCCAGGAAGCTAGGTAGGGATGGTGCCCCTCGAGGTTTGGGCAGCACTGGCTTGAAGGCTGTTGGGCGGATCAGGATTTTCTCCATGTTCTGAAATGAGGTGCCATGTGACATGGGGGATGAGCTGCCCAATCTTTCAAAGCCTTTATCACACTCCCTGCCCTCCCATCTGGGGCCCCCAAACCCATAGATTAATAACAATCGCTACCACTGGCTGAGGGCCTTCTGAGGGTCAGCTTTGTCAAGCAGTTTAAGAAGTTCCTCTCTAATCATTACAACAGTCCAACAAGCAAAATATCACTATCCCCATGTTACAGATGAGGAAATGAAGGCTCAGCAGAGTTACGGGCCTTGCTCAAAGTTAAATACATAGTTGTTGTATAATAACAGTATTTCCAGGCAGCTAACATTTATTGAATACAGATTACATGTCAGGTACTAGGCTAAACACTTTACACACATTATTCAATTTAATTCTCACAACAATCCTATGAGAGTTGAACTATTACCTCCATTTTATAGATATAGAAACTGAGGCTGAGAAAGGTTAAATTACTTCCCTGGGATCATACAACCAGAATGAGGTAGGGGCGGAATGAAAACCCAGGTCTTGTGAATCTGGAGCCCACACTTTTTCCTCTAAATAGGCCTCCAAATTTCAGCTTCTCCAGGGGATCCCTGATTCCACCCAGGCTCCAAAGGAGTGGCTGGTCCTCACCTTCTCCAGCTTTCCAGAGACAGGGATGAGCTTGGGTGGGGGGCCTCGGAGATGGGCATTGCGTGCCCGCTGCTCTCGGGCATCTTCAATGTCACTGCTTGGGCTGGGGGGTGACTCTGTCCGGAAGTCCTCGTTGACGTAGGTAAAGCTGGTGCCAGGGACAGCCTTCCTGGGAGGCACAGCTGGGCAGAGCGGCTCCTGTGCCTCATAGCCACTTCGCAGCAGCCCATCCTGCTGGCGGAAGGAAGGTAGGCCCAGGGGGGCCTGGTGGCGGGGAGGAGCCGGCCCCCGGGGCAGGGCCGGCCCGAGATGAGGCTGCTCACGCTGCCCATGACTGGAGCTTGTGGGGCAGTGGTGGCCTCAGGAGCGGGCTCGAGTGGCACCGGCAGTGTCTGCACAATGGCCATGGCAGCAGAGGCGCAGGCCTCGCCGAGGGCCTCCAGGGAAACCTGTGAGCAGGGCAGTGGTGTCAGAGTCTCTTCACTTTGACCTCCCTCCCTAAATAAGGCCGTGAGTCCCTTTCCTGGCTCTTCGTCCCAGGTCAGACAGCCCCCTGACATCAGTTACATGCCCTGGACCGTCCCAAGGCTCTCCCTCCGAGCACCGGCAAGAACTTCAATTCTCCCTGGGCCCCAGACCGCTGTCTAAGTCTGGTCTGAACAGAACTGAGGACAGAGTCGACTGAGCAGGGATTATGAGGGGATGGGAGGCCTAGTGGTTACGCAGGGCCCTTGGCAGCAGGGGCCCAGGCCCCAGTCCAAACCTGCATCCCCCACAGAGGCTGGGACTCAAGAAGGGAGCCCTCTCTACCAGCTCCCAGCATGGTTCCCTCGTCCCCTGAGACAGGTGGCCTCATTAGAGGCAGTTTGGGCAACCTCGGGGGTGCAGTCAGCAACTCAGATGGTAATTAGGGAACAAAGAGCCAAGGCTGAGCAGTGCCCAGTTTCCCCCAGCCAGGCCTCAGTTTCTCCCAGACAGAGAGGTGGCAAGGCTGGAGCTGGCCAAACAAGAAACCCAGAGCTCTTAGGGAGCTCACAGGTGCCCTCTGGGGTCTCCTGCCTCCCAGAGGTGGATGCAGGCTCATGCTTGTTTCCATGACTACTCCTAGCCTCACCACACCCAATCAATCAGATCTAAAGAAGCCTGCACAGGCTCTGCCAACCTCTAGGAAAACTTCCAGCTTTAGATATTCCCCAGAGTAACCCCAAGGGGATGCCGGTAGAAGCCCTACCATCACCTCTGGCAGCTGCTCCAAGACCTCACTTCCCTGCAGCCCAGGGAGGAGGGCTCCACCTCCCCAGGCCCTGCTCCTTCCTGGAAGAGGACAGCAAGTCTCCACCCGGAACTCCCTCCCTAGTCCTGAGGCTGAAGACCAGGGCTCAGGCATCTGCTGAAGTCATCATGCAGAGCAGGGGCCAAGAAGTGGACAGAGAATTGCGTGCGTAGGAGTAGGAGTGTGTGCATGTACTTATTTGTGTGTGTGCGACTGTGTGCACAAGAGCATGAAGAAGAACTGTGTATGTGAAAATGTGTGTGAAAACATCATGAATGAGTGTGTGTGTATGTTTGGACAGATGTATGAGTATATTCATATTCACATGTATATATATGTGACCTCATACGTGCGTATCTTACAATACTGTGTGTGTAAACAGGGTGTGTCTTTTAGTATGTGAAGTTACAAATGCATACAAAGTAAGTGAATTTGTGGTGTGAGTGTGACTATATGAGAGAATATGTTTGGATAGATGTCCATTCATAGACACATGAGTTTATGTATCTTATACAAGTGTGTGAGCAGGAAATGAGTGTGCACAAGTGTGTACAGAGGAGTGTATGTACACAGGAGCATGTGTGAGAGGGTGAGAGACTAGGCGGCATGCAGGGCCAACTAGGTGAGTGGGAGTCTGTTTTCTATCACTCACTGGAGTGTGGGGAGAGGAGAGACACACATTATCTGACTCCTTTGCTTGATCTGCTCCCCCCCTTTCTTGCCTGTGTTCCATTAAGTCCACCCCCTACCTCACTACACGAGTCAAAAGACCTGAAGAACAAGGGAGGTGTCCAGACTAAGGGAGGAGGAGCTGGGAGATGGCGATGGGGGGTGACTGGTGTCCACCGAGCAAGGGCAGGGCCTGAGTCCCCCTCAACAAGGCAAATGGACACCCCCATCTTCTCCCAGACCACTCCAGGCCATGGAGAAAACAGTGGGAAGGGGCTTCTTAGGGGGCCGCCGAGGCTGGCATCTCTCTCTGCATTTCCCCAGTTCAGGGAGCACAGAGAAAGTGGACACTGAGGGGAGGAGACAGAGAGACAGAGGCCCCAAAAGACAAGAGACAAAGACTTGGAGAGGCCCCAGGGTCAGGGGACCCAGTGAGCCCGGGTCCCTGCACTCCATGGAACCAGGGGCCCCTCAACCCAGAAAACACATCAAGCTGGTCCTTAAGAGCCAGACACCGAGGGAGCCAGCGCCAGGCGTCTGGAAAGCCAGGCCCAGCCAGCCCGGCTCCCGCTCTTGGAGCCCGAGAGAGAAGGAGGGGCAAGTGGAGGCTCCATTTTGAGAAATGCGTTTGTGGCTATGAGAAGGGAACCCCTCGTTCTCCCCAACATCCTTTAGAAGCCGGTCGGGCACAGCACACAGTACCCAGCTCAGTGGGCTGAGGGCAGCTGCGGGCTGGGTCCAGCCAGGGCCCAAGGAAAGTCTGGCCAAGGTCTGAGCTCCCACAGACCTGTTTGGGAGCAGAAGAGTTGGGGAAAGTCTCCCCCTCACTAAACTCCAACGACCATCCCACGGGATCAAGTCTGGGATCACGAGTTCCCATTCCGAGACAGGAAGCCGGGAGCCCCCCAACCCGCCCTTCGGAGCCCCCCTCCCCCCCGACCCCGCCGCTCCCATAAAGTGGGGGCAGCTTTGGAATGCCGCCTTCCCACGGGACCTCCGCCGCGCAGAAGTTGGGGGCGCCCCCAGGTTGCCTCCCAGAGCCGGCCCACCCCCCCTCACCTCCG